AAGTGTTTCGAACAAAAAGATCACCTATCGGTTCCTTATAAGACTAAATCATTCATTCACAGTGTAGACTGGCAGTGGGACCCCACTTGGAAAAAGACTGTAGTGTATTCATGATTCAATTGGTCTTTGACTGGAGAATTACACTAGTACTTATGTTAAGTGTTGAACAGGACCACATAAGGCAAAGGTTATGAGACTCACTGACCGTTGTTGTAACCTCGTCCACCAGTGATTGATGTGTTCTCTTAAGCTGTAAGATAATATAAAATAGGCATATATTTTTATTTCTTATTTATTTGATTTACCAAGTGATTCTTATTTTAATAGGATAAAATACGAGGTATTTTGGTAAGTAAGAATAGTTATATGATGTGCTATTATAAATTATTTACGGTGACTATGTTCCAGTGTGCTGGATTGATGACGTCCTCGAAATGAGCTCAAGAATGTACATTATGTCAAAACCCTGCAGGTAGACGATTGTCTGACATAATGGTTAAGGATCTGAGTGGTACTAATTTCAGAAATAAATAAGAAGTTGATTAATTATTTTCTCAGTAATTTAATTAATCAACGGACGTTATATCTTAAACATAGGGAGGTAAATCGATCAATCGGATTAATATTATTTAAACATGGAGGCTCGATTTTATTGGTAAAATTGTGGCTAAATGGGGAGAGCAATAATATTACTCTAGTGGGATGTTTTATTATTTAATTCCATTAAATAGGAATTAATTTTATTCCATACTAATTAATTAATTAGGAGAATAGAATTCCTACTAGAATCTTATCTTGGGATTAGGAGACTTGGGAGTCTTCTAGAAGATGGATATTAGTAGAAAATATATTTCCTACATTATATTATTAATTAGAGTAAAATTAGGTTTTCTAAATTAGGAATTAATTCTATTCCATGATTATTAATTTAATTAGAAAAGATATTCCTACAAGGATCTTCTCTAGTGTTAGGAGACTTAGGAGTCTTCTAGAAGGAGGAGATTAGTAGGAGATTTTCTTCCTACATTAAATTAGTATTGGTGTAGAATTAGGATTCCTAGGCCTAACGGAATAAGCCCATATATAGGAGTGTCCCAACCACTCCTACAAGTTTGTCTTGGCCGATTTTTCTCTTCTTCATACACGAGAGAATAACATTGTTCGAAGAGCTCCACCAAGTTTAATCGAAGTAGGTGTTTAGCTAATCCATTAGAAGGCTTTTGGGTACAATTTATTCGAGCCTTTATATTTATATTTTTCGGTCATCATCATCACCTTGTCGCAGCCGTTCGCCGCCGTCGACAACCGCCGGAAATTGACTACCTCCGCCGGAAGTCAGCCAGGCCCAGCCGATCGCCACCGCAAGCCGTC